ACTCATGTTTGGAAATTACCTACCATACACATACACACACACACACACACACACACACACACACACACACACACCTTTATATGCAACCCTCCCTTGAGGTGCATCCACTGCCAGCCAGAATCTAAACCTGACAGTACTCAATGGCAGAAAGAAATTAGAGTGTCCTACATGCCAGTTCTCTTCTTGCTTAATTTTGGCCTCATCATAAGCAGTGCCTAACATGGTTTACATCTCTTGAGAAACACTTTAATTGATCTTTGGATCTATCAATAAGAACTTGAACCCATAGCAACAGCCTGTGCATAGGAAATGTTCAGCTCATATAGGTTGTTCCTTTCTAGGGAATCATCCTGAGAGGACCACAATGAAACTTGACATTCAAAAAGTTTAAGCCCCAATAATTACTAGGTTTAACAGGATGCATCTCCTAATCCTTTCCTTTCATCACAAACATGTAGCTTTTTCATCTTACCACTTCTCTCTTCTACTGAGACTTGTACCTCTTCCTACTTCAGCCATGTGGCTCTAGTGAAGGCTGCCATGAGCTTACATGGCCCTGCCCCCTGGTCACAGTTGATTGGTCCAGGGATGGGCATCTAAGTAGGCCGATCAGAGTTCTTCCCTTGGATTATTTTTCCTAACTGGAACTGGAATATAGTCATCTTCTGTGATGACAGGAATTCTGGAATGAGGAAATACAGAAGCTTTTGTGGTCATATTCCTCACCTTATGGAGAAAACCAATCCTGAATGAAAGAAAATTAAGGTGATACGCAAAGGCAGACACAGAGATAGAAAGAGAAATCTGGTGGTATGTGAGTACCTGCTTGTGAAACTCAGCTGAATCCCTGCCTTTCTGCAGGATGATTTCAGTGACATGGGAAATCATTCCCTAAAAAACCCATAGCAGAGGCCATGCCCATAGCATATTCGTACTCATCATTCTAGCACTGCATGTACCCAAGACTGAAACACCCCATGTTGGCCCCCTTCCCTTCCTTGAATCACTTCCCCACTCCCCTAGTGGTACTTCCTGGGATTATCTCTCAAATAAACTCTTGTACCCCCATCCTTGTTTCAGGGTCTGCTCCAGGGTGAAACCAGACTCAAACATGGTCCCTCTTCTTACCTAAACTAATAATATATGGGTTTTTGCCACTTTCAACCAAGAGTTCTATCTATTACCTCCTTCTGGGATAATTCCCAAAATGTGTTTGGAATTCCCCATCTCCACTCCATTAACTATGTCATAAATATACAGATTTCTTTAAAAAGTTTAATGATATTCTTATAACTTCACAAAGTTTAATGGTATCCTTAGGTTTGACACAACACCCTGAAATTTTATAAAAGTTTCCATAACTGATATATGAACCATTCAAAAGACAGTAAGAGCCAGAGATGGCTCTACTGGACTTGCAAGGAAGTATGGCACAATCAAGAGGACATGGCTGGAAGCTGCTTCTGGAACTGTGGGACCCTCAAGCCTGCATGCCTCAGAGCTGAATACTAGGAAGCTTGAAAACATACTGGCAAGAAGAGATTTACTCTCTCCTCCATATTTCATCCTCCACCCCATTCAAAGTGCTCAATAAATATTTGATAAACAAGTGATGGATTTATGCCTTTCAAACCAGAACTTACCAAAGAGAAAACAAGACACTGCTATAACCATAAGCATCATATTGACCATAATGAGAATTTTCTCTAGTCAACTACCTCCACCAAATTCTGCTGATTACACCAAATGTGGCACTTCAGGGATATTTCAGTGGACATGGCAGACTGTTTGTTGCATTATTGAAAGCTATTTTTTCTGTGCTTCCAGAATACAGAGATGCATACAGATTGTCCCAAAAAGGTCCTAAGTGATTACAATTATACAATTGTATACAATTCTCAAAGGGCCAAACCACTTACTACAAGTATTATAATTCCCTTGGAGAATCTACACACCAAGACTCAATATTCTCTCCTTGCACAGTCCCAATTCTGGGATCAACAGCAATTCTCCTCTGGGTCCGGCTTTCTCAGAGTAGCATACATTGTTCATTGCCACCAAGGGTATCCAGGGACACAAACTAAAGATAATAATGCTTTACTGTCCCTCAATCATCTGTCCCTGCCACATGTGGAAAGGAACGCCAAGTCCAGTTTGTCCAAGCACAAAATAGAATCATTGGCATCATCAGATCAGATAACAAAATTTTTAGTGGCAATTTATCATCACGCTACAAGTAACCAACATCTGTTGAGCACTTACATTGTTAGGGACCAACATAAGTACTTTACCTGCTGTATTAGCCATGATACACTGGTTATGCCACAGCAACAAATTAACCCCCAAAATCTCAATGGCCTGGCAACAAAGGTTGACTTCCCGCACTCCATGTGCACCATAGGATGGCTGGGGAATATGCTCCATAGGGTCACTCAGAGACCCAGAATTATGGGAAGCCTAACACCTCAACACAAGACTTCCAGTTAATGGGGTGGCAGGGGATAAGAGAATGGGATGGTCAGGCACCAGCTCTAGACACCTTCAGGCTGGAAGTCATGCATGTGGCTTCCACTCATAGTACATTGGTTATAATTCCAAGGGGGCTGGGAAATGAGGGGGAGAAGATGGATAGCCCATGAGCAGTAAGCATTCCTACCAATGTACAGTATCTCATCAAAGTCTCACAAACTTAGAAAATACATCATTATTCCTTTTTACAGAGAAGAAAACAGAAATAATAGGGAAGTTAAGGGACTTGTGCCAAGGTGTCACAGACAGTAAGTGGCAGAGTCAAGATATGAACCCAAACTTCAAAACACACTCAACCATAATGCTGCACACTCATCACAAAATTCTATGGAAATCCCTCAAATAGCAAAACACCACGCTAATTAATAGGAAAAGCCAAGTTATGCAAATACACAATGGAGCTCCTCCAACACACCACCTCTTCACCCCAAAGATTCAACCTAAGCAAATACCTGGAATAGAATTCCAGGCAATTTCAGCAAGGGGGAAATGAGTCATTGATGTGGGGTCTGATATCCAGCCTTCAGTCCCCCATGTCAAGATAAAAATCTTCCAAAAACTTCCCCTAAATACCTGAGCAGACCTTCAACTCCTGTCACAGAAAAACCCATTGGTGACATCTTTACACAATGCAAAGATCTTTCTAAAAGAGAAAAGGTAAATGTCATCCATATACCTACAGGAAGAGGTCAGAAGCAGATGCTGTCATATCCAGAGGGATGGCTGAGCGATGGTTCTTCCAACAGGTTAATTCCACCCAGCCTGCAAAACTCAAATCTAGCACCACCTCCTCCAAGGAGCCCTCCCCTACCAGCTTCTCCAGGTTGGGACCCTCTGTCTCTGCTCCCACATCACCTCCCATGCACACCTCCAGCAGGGCCCTTCCATTGCATGTAATACTTTACTTGTCTGCCTGTCCCCTGGACTCTGAGCCACCCACAGGCAACCTCTGCATCTATTTTTCTGTGTCTCTTACCCCTAGGATAGAATATGTGCTCAACAAATGTGGGGTGTGGGGCACCTGGGTGGCTCAGTCAGTTAAGTGGCTGACTTCAGCTCATGGTTCATGAGTTTGAGCCCCACATCAGGCTCTACGCTACAGCTCAGAACTTGGAGCCTGAAGTCTGCTTCTGATTCTGTCTCTTTCTTTGCCCCTCCCCACCCTTCAAAAATAAATAAAATAAACATTAAAAAATAGTATGTTTTAAAAAAAAGAATAGTATACAAAGCAATTTGTTCCCTTGGGAAATTTAATACACCCCTCCCATGCCCAGCAAACATGTAGCCAAGTATAAAAACTGAAGTTCCAGCCTCACATCTGCTGTAGTACCTTGAAGTGGTTCCATAGTCTCTCTGAACTATTTATGCAGCAGATAATAAGTAAAAACCACCTGACAGATATGTTGTAAAAATTTAGTGGAAAGCAGAGGGTATTCAAACAAATATTCATAGTAGCACTATTCACAATAGCCAAAAGGTGGAAACAACCCAAATGTCAATCAGCTGGTGAGTGGATGTATAAAAAGTGGCATATCCATACAGTAGAACACTAATAAGCCATGAATAGAATGAAATGTTGATGCATATAACAACACGGATGAACCTTGAAAACATCATGCTCAGTGAGAGAAGCCAAACACAAAAGGTCACATACTTTATGATTCCATGTATGAAATGTCCAGGCGAGGCAAATTCAGACAAAGAGCAGATTAGTGGTTGCCAAAGACTGAGCAAGGGAAGAATGAGGAGTGACTGCTAATGGGTATAGGATTTCCTTTTGATGGGATGAAAAAGTTCTGTAATTAGATAGAGATAATAGCTTTACAACATTGTGAATGCACCAAATGTCACTGAATTTGTACACTTTCAAATGGTTAAAATGGTGTTATCCTATGTGTATTTAGCCACAGTATTCTTTTTTTATTTCTTATGGGGCATTTCCAACTAATAACCTACCTAGGATTTTTTTTAGTTAAATGGAGCAGATAATGTATGTACAGTTCCTAGTCCTCACAAGCCCTCAATCCATGGTGGCTGCGTTTGTAGTCATAATTCACAATAATTTGTTCTCCCTATAAAAACAGAATATACTGAGCAAAGGAAAGCACCAATCTAATTTGTTTCCCAAATCTTCACAATAGCGGAATTGATATAAAAGTCCAAAATATTTCACATGGTTTGACTTATTTTTATCATGGTAACATATGCATGACATAAAATTTACCATTTTTACCATTTTACAGTGTACAGTTCAGTGGCATTGAATGCATTCACAAGGTTGTACCACCATCACCACCATCCATTTCCAGAACTTTCCATCACGTAAAACATGACATCTTGTTACATTCCAGGTGTTTTGATCCACAGCGGAGCTCAGGCAGAATTATCAATTTGGACTTTGTTCAATCGCAGATAAAAAAGGGAGAAAATGGGAGCCGGCCCACAAACTCTGTGATGTTGGTGCTCGCAGCATGACAGGGTTTGGGGTCCTCACGCTGCTGCTGCCCGTCCTGCTGGGCTGGGCCAGCTGCCACCCTGTCCCTGGAAGGAAGAACTTCAACAAGCTGCTGCTGATCTCCTTCGATGGCTTCCGCTGGAACTATGACCAGGATGTGGACACCCCCAACATGGACCGCCTGGCCCAGGAGGGCGTGAAGGCCAAGTACCTCACACCACCCTTCGTGACAATGACGTCCCCATCTCACTTCACCACCATCTCAGGTAAGCTCCACTCTGCAGCCAATTTGCCAATGCTAGTGGAAGCCCCAGTGTCTGTCATTCCCTGAGATACAGCTCATTCTCAACCAGCTCTTGGGAGATGGAGGCAGTTAATGCAAATGGAAGAAGCACTAGCTAAGAATATTCTGGTTTCTAGAACCCCACTGCTACAGAGCCCCAGTCTGCAGACAGAATCAGGACCACACAGCTGCAGCCTCCCTAGCCCCTGCTCCCTGTTCCCCAGACCCACCCACCCACCCTGCACCTTGCCTTACACACAGTGGCTGGTGATCTTTTCCAAAAGTAAATTATTAGGGGCGCCTGGGTGACTCAGTCATTCAAGCATCTGACTTCAGCTCAAGTCATGATCTCGCAGTTCATGAGTTCGAGCCCCACATGGGTCTCTGTGCTGATGGCTCAGAGCCTAGAGCCTGCTGCAGATTCCCTGTGTGTGTGTGTGTGTGTGTGTGTGTGTGTGTGTGTGCCCCTCCCCCACTCATGCTCCGTCTCTCTCTCTCTCTCTCTCTCTCTCTCTCTCTCTCTCGATAAACGTTTAAAAAAATAATGATTTAAAAAAACAAAAGTAAATTATTAAAAGAACTTTATAAAAATAGTAAAACATTAAAGTTTAAAGAGCTCAATTAGATTAGAGGATTCCCTGGCTTATTACTGAAGAGTTGGAGGGACACCAATACTCTTTGAAGAGAATTCAAATTTTGTCTCTCTGTGGCCCAGAAAGTCCCCATGACCTGGCCCCTGATCCACTCTCTCCTATCTTCTCTTATTTCTCTTTCCCTTACACGGTTCTTTCCAGATCACAAAGGTCACCTGCCTGTGCCTCCACCCAGTCCCCACCTGTCTTAGTACCTTTGCCCTTGCCAGTCTCCCCAGCTTACCTAGAACGTGTAGCTCAAGAGGAGGACACAACATTAGACAAGAAAAGATACTAACAGATCTCATTACAACTAGAAAAGTCACTGAGAAGGAAGAGAAGAGTTTCTCCAGAAGAGAGCAAGGGCAAATTGACTTGAAATTGGAAACAGGAAAAGGCTCTCTGAGATGGAGCAGTTGAACTGAGAATTGAAAGAGAGTACAGGAGACAAGAGGAAGGAAAAGCATTCAGGCATAGGGAAGAGCATGTTCCAGGTGTCTGTGATAGGAAGGAATGTGGTCATTCCATAATCCCAAATACCAAAATGCAAAGGATTCCACGATAGTAAGAATAACATCAGCTTCCTTTTCTCCAACATGGGCCTGAAGCCAGGCATGTGCTAGGTGCTTAGGCTTCAATGTCTCCAATACAACAATACTGCAAAGCAAGTGTTGTCCTCATTCCACAGATGAGAAAATGAAGGCTCAGAGAGGCCAAATAACTCATCAGTCACTTGGCCAAGAAATGGGCAAGGAAGAAGCCAGGCCTGGAACCAGGGTGTCCCTGGCCACGTGGAACTGGTTCTGCCCAGCTCTGAGCCTGGAATCCACAGACCCCTCTTGTGGGGTATGGAATGGTGCCTGGCAGTATGAGCCTCACCCCTATCCAGAAAACCACTCCCTTGGGGTCCAAGGCAGCTCTGGGAGGCTCTGAAATGATACACAAACTGCTAGTACCTTTTTCGGGGAGAGGGTTTTATCACTTCCATCAGACTCTCAAAGGGGCCCTTGAATCAGAAACTTAAAAAATAAAGCTGAACAACCACTCAGAGGGAGATTTTCCTACATGTAAACTCTTTGAGAGGCAAGTCATTTGGGAACTATTAGTGCCAGGAAGCAGGAAATAAATAGCCCTTTTCTGGAGAAAGAGAATGCTACTTCCCAGTGGCATTAACTTTGTAACACTTAAAAGACCTCCCATGGGCAGATTCTGGGTCCCTGAACACTGAGAATATGATGGGCACAAAATATTATAAGGCATGCCCACCTTTTATTTATTCCCAGAAGATTCTTGATGAGAAGATATAAACAGTGAGAGCAAATTTTAAAAATTATAAAATTACTGCACCTCCTCGTCTACATTCATTGCCAGTGGGAAATGGAATTGGGTACAGCTTCAATGGAGGGTAATTTGGCAACACCCAATACAATCAGAATTGCACAAATTTTCTTATTTGGCAATTCCACTTGTAGGACTTTATCCAACAGATATATATCTGCTGGGTGGAAAATGATGCATGATGTACATGCAAAGTTATTCATTGCATTGGCATTTGTAACCACAAGAAAACAGAAACAACCTAACTATTCACCCAGAGGGGAATGGCTAAATAAAATACCAGACACCCATTGAATGGCATAGTCTGTTACCTTCAAAAGAAAAATGAGGAAGTTCTTTGTGTCCTGATAGGAAGCTATCTCCAAAATGGATTCAGTGACAAAAGCAAGATGCAAAGAATGTGTGTAGCATGAATATATGTGTTCATATAATATGGATGTGTATATATATGCATACAATTACTTGTAGATGCATAGAGGAAATCTGGATAAATACACAAGAAACTGGCGATACTGGTTCCTCCGAGGAGGGCACAGGGTAGGAGACTGGATTGTACCCCCTGTATAATTTTTAGATCTTGGACCATGTGAAACGTATTGCCTATAAATAACAAAGCATTGTATACAAAATAATCTTTTTAATTCACCCACTGTGGAAAAAACATGTTCCTTTGAACCCTCTTATTTATAACTAGACCTGCCATTTATTGAGCAAGTGAACATTCACTCTGCTTCAACTATAAAACAGGTTTTTCAACATCAGCTCTATTGACATTTGGGACTAGATCATTCTCTGTGCTGGGGTTGGAGGGGCGATATCCGGTGCACTGTGGAATGCTGAGCAGCATCCCTGGTCTGTACACCCACCTGATATCAGGAGCACCCCTCCTCCCGATATGACAACCTAAAACGTCTCCAGACATTGCCCAATGTCTGCTGTGGGAGCAAATTGGCCCCAGCTGAAAACCCCTGCCTTGAATGGTTGAACCTGCTTATGAATAGGCCAAGCAGGTACCATGATCATCAGATCTTTCAATAATTTTAACGGTGATATGAAGTCAGGACAGTTACCCTCTTTACAGGGCAGAGATATCTGAGGCTCAAAGATGTACAAATCTTTTCTGGGGCAGAGGCAGGATTCAAACTCAGTCCTGGATGGTTCCAGACACTGGCTCCTCAATCCCTACCCTCCAGCATGACTACAGCCCGTCAGTGTCTTTGATTCTAAGTAATCTTTCCAAACCCCTCTGAATGTTGTCCATCCCCAGAGCTTCCAGGAAACGAGTATATATCATGAATATGTTGTATTAATGAAACAGAGACCACCCCAGACCCAGCAAAACCCCCAGCATTTGTCTTCAGGAGCTGAGCTCAAGCCGACCTCTGTCTGACTCCAGTGTGCGCAAGAATTATCCATAATAGAAAAAATAATGGTTAAAATGTGTGCTGCCAGCACCCAAAGACCTCATCAGATTCTAGGGTACAGACCTGACACAAACTATGATAAAGGGGGCTCTCCTAGCTCAACGACTAATTAACTTGTGTTCTTACGAACACATCTGGGCAATTTAACACAGAAGAGAGGTGATGAGGAAGAGCCTGTTGCACTGCTTCACATCCTAGTTCCAACACAGGCTCAGGTCCGAGAAGCCATGTGGCCACCTCCCTGAGCTTCCTAGACAGAGTTCAAGGAGCAGGGGCCAGGTGGTCCCAGGCCAGGAGAAGCCATGCCCCAGGCACAAGGACCCATGAGCAAGCTTCCCTAAGACAGTTGACTCAGCTGCCCAAGGTCAGAACCCTGGGCCCCCCAGAGAATCTGCTGCCCAGATACGGGCAGCAGGGCCTCCTCATACCTGGGGGCTGTCAGATGTGTGGGTATCTCAGCCCTCACCCCAGAACCAGAGTCACATGACCTTCATCAGTTTTCCCTGCTGCTGGTAAATAAAGTCCTCCTGGAGAGTTTTTAAGGGGGCTTCCAACGTATTCATTCTTCCACTTAACAATTATTTTAGCATCTCTGTTGGGCCTGGCAGTGGGAACAGTGGCCAACTATACACTTAAGTGACTCCAAGGTCTTGCTACTTCCTAGGACTTGTCCCAAGACACAGGCTCATGTCCCCTCTGTTTCCAGATCCCACAGATCTATTCAGGTGTTGTTTCCTTTTCTCTGCAGCTCTGCCAGGGAGAAAGATGAAGAGCCCCTTTCTTGTGGATCCTTCTGCCTCTGTGTTTCCTTTCACTGACAGCTCGGGGAATCAGACAGAGAGATGTGTTCTCACTTGGCTGTGTCCCCCCCATAAGCCTTTTTCTGCACCACAGCTCCTCTATGGCTACCATGAGGGGCAGAGCTTAAGAGGAATACCCACTTTCCACGCTTTCTCCAATAGCATCCTCTCCTTGAAGCAGGAAGGGCAGAAGTCCTGAGCAAAAGACTCAAGGAAAGAAGATTTCTTGAAAACTGGCTACTAATTCAAAATAGCCTACTTCATCACCTCTACACTCAAAAAAATCTTTACATCTTTACAAAGAATGTAAATTTTTCCTCCAAGTACAGGCTCCCCCAGCACCACCTACAAGACGGGGAAGTAGAGCCCCTGTCTAGGATTTAAGCTCCCAAGTGCAAAGCAAGCCTTGGCTCTGGAGGAAACATTCTCCCTCCAGCTCCCCAAAGACGGGCACTGGGTAGGCCTGCACATTAATCAAGCTCATCCCCTCCCCCAGTGAATGGGCCATTACTTCCTCCAGCATAGTTTCCTTCTTCCCACCTGGCTTCATAACCCCCACCCCCAAACTCCATGCCACACACACACACACACACACACACACACACACACACACACGCACGCACACACACACACACAGGGGAACTTGGCCACAGGACCTGGAAATTTCTTAAAATAGAATGATGTATTACTTTTCTGTGGCTGCAGAACAAATTACCACAAACTTAACAGTTTAGAACAACACCCATGTATTATCTCTCAGTATCCATGGGAAAGGAGTCAGCACCAGTG